TCTTCCGATCGGCATAGACCTTCTGCCTCTCTTGGGCTGACCGGATATGCTTCCGGATAGCCTCAACTGTCTCTGCGGCCCTAAGAATAAACTCCGGGCCCATAATCTTCTTCTCCCCGACCTCATCCCAGTACAAGGGTGTTCGGACATTACGTCCATACAAAGCCTCGAATGGGGCCATCTTGATCGAGGAGTGGTAACTATTGTTGTAAGTCAGCTCGACCAAAGGTAGGCACTCTCCCAAGTCAGGCTGCGGTCCAAGACCACAGCCCTCAATATGTCCTCCAAGTACTGGATCGTCCGCTCCGACTGACCATCCGTCTGAGGATGAAAAGCTGTACTGAACTCCAGCCTCGTCCCCATGGCCCGGTGCAGAGTTCTCCAGAACTGACTAGTGAACTTCGCGTCTCGATCGAACACGATCTCAACAGGGACCCCATGAAGTTTGACAATATCGTCCACGAACAACTCGGCATACTGACTAGCCGTCATAGTCGTTCGGACTGGCAGAAAGTGAGCAGACTTGGTAAGGCGATCCACAATCACCCAAATGGAATCATGCCCGGCCCTTGACCTCGGCAATCCCACCAAGAAATCCATGGTGATGCACTCCCACTTCCACAAGGGGACCTCAAGTGGCTGCAACTTCCCTCTCGGTTTCTGATGCTCATCCTTCACTCGCTGACACACTAGGCACCCATTTACGAACCTCGCCACTTGATTCTTCATGCCTCGCCACCAAAACGACTTCCTCAAGTCATGATACATCTTCGAGGTACCAGGATGGATGGTGTACGGGGCACTATGAGCCTCTCTCAAGATCTCCTTTCGCAGCTCCCACACCTTCGGAACACATAGTCTACCCTCGAAGACTAATGCTCCATCAGATGCAACTGCGAATCCTCCGACTCTACCGGCTTCCGACAAATCCTTCATCCGGCGAAGGAAGCGATCATTCGGTTGCTGGGCGACTATCCTCTCACGAAGGGTCGGTCCTACAACCAAAGTAGTCAACACACCCCTGGCTGTCGAAAGTGGTTTCACTACCTCAAGCTGTAGCCGCTCGAACTCCCGAAGAAGGACATCCTGCTCAGTAAGAAGACAAGACAACTGGCCATAACTCCTTCGACTATGGGCATCGGCTACCACGTTAGCTTTCCCAGGATGGTAGCTAATCGTGCAATCGTAGTCCTTGACCAGTTCCAACCACCTACGCTGCCGCATATTCAACTCCCTCTGAGTGAAAATGTACTTTAGGCTCTTGTGGTCGGTGAAAATCTCACACTTGCCTCCATAGAGGTAGTGCCGCCAAATCTTCAAGGCGTGAACGACTGCAGCTAACTCTAGATCATGAGTGGGGTAGTTCTGCTCGTGAGGCTTCACCTGCCTCGAAGCATACGCTACGACTCTCCCCTGCTGCATAAGAACACATCCCAAACCCATCTTCGAAGCATCACTATAGATGGTGAACTCCAAAGTAGGGTCGGGAATGGATAGAACGGGAGCGGTAGTGAGACTCCTCTTCAACTCCTGGAAACTCTCCTCACACCTAGGACTCCATACGAACCTCACTGCCTTCTTCGTAAGGTTGGTTAGTGGTTGGGCTATCTTCGAGAAGCCCTCGATAAACCTCCGGTAGTATCCTGCTAACCCCAGGAAACTACGAACATCAGCTGCACTCCTT